AAAAAAAAAAAAATTAAAAAAAAAAAAAGGAGAAGGCAATCGGAAGGAATTACCTTCAAATCCAAGTAGCTGCCACGCAGAACCACGACACCGTTCATTCGTCCTGAGGTAGGATAACGCAGGGTGAAAGCAGGCAGCCCACTATGTCACAAAAGCACACTCCTTCATGATTAGCAACCTAATTATCATAAAGAGTCATTTGTTCCCTTCAGGAAATCTCTAAGTCATTTTTTCAATATTACTCTCTTCCTTTTTCATTTAAAAAAGCATTATTAGACTGGGTAGGGTGGTGCATGTCTGTAATCCCAGTGCTGGGGAGACTGAAAACAGGAGGATCACTGAGTCCAATCTGTGTAGTGAGACTCTACAGACCCTGTACTAAAATACATTAAAAAAAAAAAAAAAAAAGCCTCCTTATGATGTTATTGACCCTTTTTCCCTTGCAGCTTTAGGCAAAACCCTCACCTTGGGACACACTCCATTCTCATGAATGCATCCATCAGCTTCTTATCACTGGACCCTTTCATTCAACCCAAAATAAAAAGTTACAAAATTTTCAACACTCGCCACTATGACTTCCTGACATCTTATTTTAAATCATCCCAACTGTACTTGGTGGCAATAAAAAAAATCATTAACCTATATAATACTAAAATTCTAGTCTAAATTAATATCCATATAAGCTAAAGAATTCAATTTTCGTACTTCACAAGTTACGAGGAATATAAGGCGGCACCTCAGATAAACCGGCCACAGAATAAGACTACAGTGGCCCAATTAATGCATTCATAATTGAAAGTAACTTTTTATATTTAAATATGTACCTACTGTAGACTCTAAAAAGTGCATGAATTTTTTTTAAAAGACCCCAAGCAAGCCTTCCAAGGGGCTACCCTGGCTGCTCTTCTGCCCGTCCAAGAGAGTTCAGCAAAGGAACTGAGAGAACACTGTTTTTTGGCTCAGTTTCCCTGAAGATGTACCCGTGTGCTCTAGACTGCTCCAGCGACCAGCCTTTTATCAGGGGACTTTGAAAAAATTGTTTCTTAGGAGTGACCACTGTGACCACAGTATCAACCACATGCTATACCAAGAGGGAAAACACACTGCACTCGGCCATAACCCCAAGTTCAAAAAACACCAGCCACGACAAGAAAGAATGTGCCATTCCGGAGTACTCAGTTCATTCACTCACTCATTTTGCAAGGCTGGGACTGAACCCAGGCCTTGTGCGCTCCAGGCACATGCTCTACCACGCATCCCCGGCCCCCATTACCTGTGCATCTTGGCATAGTCAAAGATAAAAATATATTTCAGCAAAGAGGCAACGCAATGTAGGAAAAAGAGCCATTAAATTTCAGATCCAGGGCTCAGTAACTCACCCCTGCAACTCCAGCACTTAAGGAGGCGCAGGCAGGAAGATTCTAAGTTCAAATCCTCCTTGGGCAACTATGCAAGACCCTGTCTCAAGAAATAAACAAAAATAAAAGTAAAAATCAAAACAGCTGAAGATGGCCAGGGACACAGCTCAGTGGCACCATGCCTGTCTGGCAAATAGTAGGTCCTGAGTTCATTTCTGGTAACAAAAACAACAACAACGAGAACAACAACAAAAAGAAAAAAAACAGCTAGTAGGAATATAGTTCAGTGGAAGAGCGCCCACGGGTGCAATACCTAATACCACACACACACATTTTTTTTCCAGGTACAAAGAAGCATGTTGGCCTCAGTCATGCCATTTACTCTCTAAGAAAGTGGGCGGGCCTCAGCTGTGTCCTGCTCTCTACAATGGGGAACATAATAAGCTCAAGTGGGGAGGCAAGTCTTGTAAACGCCAACGTGTTAATAAAGGGTCACTTTTCATTTATCTTTCAGAATACGTGAGTGGGAAGTAATGACGAAAACACGGCTCTTCTTGTAAGGCAGGTTCATAATTTTGACATGCTTATGAAGAACTTTCTTATTTCCTACTTACATATAGGATGCAAATCCTACAGCCAGCAAGGTCAAGACAGAGAATTTTATAAACTAGCCACACATTTAGACCATTTTTATCATTTGCCTTTACATTTTAAATGAAGGGGAAGGGTGAGCGCTCTAGAAGAACCTATCAAGTGGGCCACAATTTACACTGAAGTCAAACCTAACAAGTGACAAATCAAAAATGAAAAGACACTGTATACAAAAGTGCAAAGATCTAAAAATAACAGTCCTTACTGCCAAAACCAACAATGCTGAGCAGGTCTGAGAGCAATTTGTTACAACACCTGAAAACTGCCTGATAATCTTCAGCACTTGCTTTGTAAAGGGAAGTAATGACGAAAACACGGCTCTTCTTGTCTTTTCATTTTTGATTTGTCGCTTGTTAGGTTTAACTTCAGTGTAAATTGTGGCCCACTTGATAGGTTCTTCTAGAGCGCTCACCCTTCCCCTGGGCTCTCGCTGCAGTCACACACACCCCTTCCCCACCAGCACAATGTCCACACAAAGTGCTGGATTAACAACCACGCGTGGCTCTCGTGACACGAATAATAGTAAGCTCCACACTGCTTAGTCAATAAAGTGAAGACCATTTCAGAAAAATTACTCGAGCATTAGGTTTTTCCTTGTTTTTGTTTGTTTTCTTAATCAGTTTCAAAAGGAAAACAGTAGGATGCTACGAGGAAAACAGAACCAACCCTGGGCTTGGAAGATTAAAACTACCAAAGGGAATATCCTGATTTATCATTTTTAACATACAAAAAGAATTCCCTTAAGTTCATCTCCTTCCTTGAGGTTGAAATAGATTTGCTCCAAGAAACATTGCAAGGCTGGAACCAAGGCCGGAGGTCGTAACTCAGCAGTCTGAGAAGGCTCGCCTGGCACAGGGAAGGCCCTGGACTCGAACCCGAGCACCACCAAAAGCTCTGGAAAAGGAACACTGGACTTTCTTGAGCAAAAGAAACTCAGGAGAAAACAAATAATGAAATGAGACCAAGAAGGATCTCAAGTCTTAAAAGAAATGTCTGATGTACGATGCAGTTTCAGTAAGAGTCTCCCCGCTTCTGCCCCGTTCTTCGCAATGCGATCTGGGCAGGCCACACAATTAGGAACGCTTCTGTATGGCCGTACTTTCTAAGAGTACCCAAAGTCAAAATCACAAACCCTACAGGTAATGTTTCTGCTGCTCACGTACTAACTCAAATGATTACGAAGACACTACCAGCCCAAGGGTATGCATTTGAATATAAACTTCTAATATTTCTGTTTTAAAAGCTACTACCATGTACTATCCTTTCAGTCACATCATTACACACACACACACACACACACACACACACACCCCTAATGAATATCAATCATTTCATGGAGACACAGCTTTTCTAAAAAGCCTTGATATTGGCGCCTCAATACTGAGGTCAAAAATTTTCAGTATTACCCAATAAAGAAAAATAATTCATTAGAAATTCTACATAAGGAAGTGAAATAATGAATGCCACATTTCAGAAAAATCCGCTTTACAGAGAATGAGGCATGGAGGAGAGACTCCATTTGCGGGTCCGTGAGCACAGGCCACGCACAGGGCAATACGGGCCCGAGCAGGGACAGCAAGAGGATATAAAAGAGAAGAGAGGCACACGTAGCACATGCAAAAGCACTGCGCAGATATCAGCTTCCACTGATGTGAAGGACCCCTGCGCATGGCGAGAGGAGTCAGCAGGCCTGAGCCACTCTGCCCGCACTTCCCTGGGCTCTGGGGGCCCCACAGAGTGGGCCACGGTGGGGCTCACCCATGTAGGCAAGTTGGGGCACTCTGGTCATCAGGCTGGGGCAGGGCACAGAGCACTGAAGATTCAGTGGAGCTCCACAAGCAGGAATTAGTCCTAGCAGAGAAAGAAGAAAGGAGCACTGGGCCTAGCCCAGGGGAGACTTACCTTCTCCCTTCTACGAAGTCTACAGCTTATTCCAGTGATACGCAGGCAACTCACCTCAAACATCTTCACCTTTTCCATCGTGATCAGCCGCCTCGAGGTGTGACTAGAAAGCTTCTGCTCGCAGTTGCTAATGAGCCTCAGGCAAGGGTGCCAGGGCACCACCTCCTCGCTGTACCTGCGGAAGGAGAGCTGACCGTTAGGGCCGGCCGCCCAGCCTGCGCAGGGGCCTCCGCCATGGGCCGGGCTCTTGTATCCCACAGTGCTAACGGCCCATGGAACCCCTGGCTCTCCTCCCTGGGTTTAAAAACAATAGCTCTTTACTATCACCAAATCCAAAAAATATGTTTTTAGAAAATTAAGAGAGAAGGGTGGCAGGAGAGACTGGCAAATGCACTGGAAGAGGAAGAGGAGCGAGAGAACACATGTGTGTTCTGTGAAGACTGGAAAACATTTAAGACACAAAAATATGAGATGATCCCAGCGCATGGGCCCCTTAAGAGCAGATGACACAGACAGACGTACACATCCAGCAACCCGACTTGCAGGAGGGACGGATTCATCCAAAGGCCTTCCCAATTCCCAATTCCCACATGCTTTCACCTATGAAATGAAGTGCTCCTGAGAATGTTCAACACCACCCAAAGACCACTGTTAAATTTGTAAACACAAGATAAATAAACCAGGACTAAAGTAAACGCCACGGATTCCATGGGTCTGGTCACATAATCAGGAAAGGAAAGGGAAGCTGTGAGCCATCGTGCGGAGAGTGGTGCCGTAGGGCACAGCCACCACGTGAGAGGAGGTGAGGACACCCAGATGCCGGGATTGTCAGGCGCTGTCCTAGGAGCCTGGGGTCTATCCTGGCAGAATTAACAGGCGACAGATGTGGAACAAACGGAGGCCTCACAGGACTTCCGGGAAGACGGAGGGTAAGCAGCAGAGAAAGAGCCTCCTTGTTGCCACCCTGATGCTAGAATACAGCAAGGTGAGGAAGATAAGGAGAAGGTACATGGGCCAGCGAGATAACTCAGCTTAGGTGAGCACAGGGACGGGGCTCTATCCCCAGCACCACATGCACGCTGATCCTGCCCTGGGGGCGCACTGAGCCAGCAACCAAGTCTGAGCGTAGTAGCACGCACCTGAAATCCCAGCACTGGGAAGGCTGAAAACAGGAGGATCACTGCAAGTCCGAGCTTCTAGTGAGACCCTGTACCAAATATATAAATTAAAAAAAAAAAAAAAGAAGAAAGAAAGAAAGAAAAAAAAGAGGAAGGAAGTGGGTCCCCTGAACCCAGGAAAGATCTGAAGTGGGAACTGAAGCCCACAGAGAGAGCAAAGAGACAAACTTTGGTGAAGTCAAAGGAGGTAGCTGGCTGCACCTTCTTCCTGTGACTACGGTTGACCCCAGAGGCCTCCAGCGATGCAGCACAAGAGAAAGCAGGGCACGTGAAGGTGGCACCAGCTGGCAGGGAGCGCTGAGGGCTCTGCTACCCTGTAGGAGAGCCACTGGCCAGCTGAGCTCAATCTCAGAGCAGCACGCAGCACCCAGCACCCAGCGGGGCTCGGCCATGGAAGGGGTGCTGAGGGCTGCAGGCTGGGTGAGTCTGGTCTCAGCCCCCACAGCCAGAGCACAGCCTGAACTTCAGGGGAAGCAAAGGCTCAGGTCCACAGGGCTTTTTCACAACCCCACCACAAAGCCACTGCTGGCTTGTGGGAAGAAATCAGCACGCAGCAGGTCTCCGTTGCCACATGTTGTCTACTTATGACAGCAGAAACAAACGTGGAAATGCACTTTTTGTTTTCTTTTTCTCCTTTTTTCCTTTTCTTTTCTTTTTTGTTTTGGTCTGGTTTGGTTTTTCTCCTTCATTGTTTGAACTTGTTTTCTACGAGGGCAAACATGGTTTCTAGCTTCACTATGATGCTGTTCTGTGCTTTCCTTTTAGTTCTTCCTTCCCCCTTTCCCTCCTGCCTCTGCACCAGCATCCCTAAGTCTGCATGCTCTTCCTTGGTCCTCCAACCTTGCTTCTCACCTCCTCTCTTCTCCTTCTCCATTTTTTTCCCTAATCCCTTTTAAATTATGTCCCCTGAGGGTAAAACTGGCATATTGGGGACTTACTTACTACAGAGTTTTTTTAGTGTTCAACATATGCAAAATGCTGACCTTATATATAGAAATGCTGCACTTCTTATAAAATTAATGGAAATCAAATTTAGAATTTTCATACTAAGTATCTTGCTAGGAAAAAATGCAATCCACAACATGGGTGAAGCTATAGCAAAAAAAATGGAAAACAGAAGGGCTGGGGAGATGACAGCTCAGTGGTCTAAGTACCTGCCTGGCAAGCACAAGGACCCAAGTTCGATCTGCAGTATTACGTGTGTGCCAGCCCCACAACCCAGTATGGTGGTGCACACCTATAAACCCAGCACTGGGAGACAGGCTGAGACAGGAGGATCATCAGGAGTCTGAACTGGGTAGTGAGACTCTGCATCAAATAAATAAATAATTTATTTTAAAACATGGAAACAGAAAAGGCAGAGTTTTGACTTTTAGCATGCAAACAGCAAGAGCCACTGGGCTTTATAATGTAGCTACACTAATGTCCCCCTGCTTAAAGGGAAAAATCATTTTACTCCCTAGTGTGACTGACTTAGCTTTAATTTTGCAGCAAAGTCTTGCTAAATTGCCCAGGCTGGCCTTGATCTTTTGAGTCTCCTGCCTCAACTTCCCCAGTAGCTAGGATTATAGGCCTGTGCCATGATGCCCAGGCCTGCCTTTGACTACTTGGAAAACATCCCTTTGGTTATATGCATCTGAGAATTTCCCCTTGTGCACGATTACCAAAACATAAAAGGCACTGAAGGAATACCTGAGGGCTACTTTTTAAGATTTTTATCAATGCAGTTAAGTACCTTTAATTTTATTTTTTATAAAAGAATAAAAGAAATGCTTAACTATATGTGATTATAATTAAATAATGAAGCACAAAGTAAACTACAATAAATGATAAACTACATACTGCAGACAATCAGATGCTAGCAAGTAAGGAGCGTAGAAAATCCACTGGAGACACTTCAAAAAGGGAAGTCAGTCCAAAGAGCCTCCCACTGGCCAAGTGCAGGGCAATTTGAGAGACAAATCCTGGTACTGCATCACGACTCAATGCGTAATACAGGAATCCCTGGCCCTATACCACCACCAACTTAGATATTGGTAAGTAAATGAGGAAGAAGGGAGAAGAGAGGCTGGGGATATGGTTTGGGGTGAAGCACGTGCCTAGCACACCACACATGAGGCTCTGGGTTCAACCCCAAAACCCAGAGGAAAAAGGGAGAATGAATGAAAGAAGAGAAAAACCAACATTTGAAAGCCACTGTTGTGGTGAATGTAAAAATGGAGTCATCAATGTGAGTAGGGGCTCATTGGAGAATGTGACAGCGGTGTAACCCTGGGACAGCACCTCACGAGATACTCCTCAAAGGGAAAAACAAAGACTCAGTGAAGAGCCTGAAGGACAGCAAGAGGACTGCCTGGTTCCAGTCACCGTCCCTCGGAGGGATACTCTGCCTGGGCCGCGCTGGGGTCCCCTGCCATGGAAGCAGAGCCTCTGTGTGCTCCCCGAGGAAACCTCAGCTTCACGGGCCGAGGCCAGCCCTCAGGGTGCGAGCCCTGTACTGAAGGGTGAGGACACCGAGCTAAAGAGCGGGGAGGGGTTCTAGACCGCAGGAGACTGCAGAGAGAGAGAGCAACGCAGCACATTTTCCTCAACGGACCAAATGGGGTAAAACATGAGTCCATGAGAGTGACAGCGAAGGCGCCACAACCACACACGAGCTTTTCAAGCAGCACACTGAAAAAGGCTGAGAAAGGCAAATGCTAGCCAGAGGCTCCTGCACAAAAGGCCAGACAGTAAATATTTCAGACTTCTGTGACCACATGGATTTCTGTCACATATTCTTTCGTATCTTAACAGTGCTTTAAAAATATGAAAACCAGTCTTAGCTCACAGACTTTAAAAAGTCAAAGCTGAGCACTTCATCTAGCCCACAGGCTGCCAAACCCTGCTATAAAAAAAAAATATATATATATATATATATATATTTTTTATATATATTGTTATATATATATATATATATATAACAATACAGCCAGTCACATACATGCAGGTAAACAAAGGCCATCTGCTCACATTAAATGCAAAGGTACATGAATGAAATCAGAGATAAGGAAAAAGTTACGCTAGCTATCCAACCACTGTAAGAAATATTAAAACCTTACATACTCTGGTGTATACACGGGTAACCAGTACACGAGTCTTCCGCCTAATACGAGGGTCTCCGCTGCAAAGTTTAACAGGTCGAAAAACATGTCGCTCAGGTGATAACTCAAGGAGACTGGCACGTGGCTTTCTGGGCTACATGAAGAAAACAAAATGTCAAAAGCAGCACCAACTTTAATATTTTTTAAATTAACTAAAAAGGATCACCGCACTTCTCAAGGAGTAACCCCCGCCGTGTAAACATCACTTACCATTTCTCCATCCCCTTTGGAATTTCCTTCTGTGAACCGGTTCTCCTCGTAGATTCTCTGATACCGTACGGAGCTAGACAGAAAACACAAGGAATGTGGACAGGCAGAAGTCACCACGGCACCCGCGACGAGCTCAAGGGCATCTGGCGCCTCCAGACGTGATGCTTCGCAAAGGACACATCGGCCGTGGTACTCCAACTGAAAACTCACGACGGAGAGGAGACCGTGCTCTTCAAAAAAGGTCAATGCCCTAAAAGGCATAGTAAGGCTGTGGAACTATTATAAACTAAAGAAGGCTTAAAAAATATCATTACTATTTGGCCTCTGAGCAGGCCAAATAGTTCAGAGGATTAAAATGCCTGCAAGCAGGTGCAGCCGCCGGGGTTGGACCCCCAGACCTGGATCCCCAGGCCTGCCGTGCCGGCCAGCCCCCGGGCCACTGAGACGGCAGCTGAGACTGGGCGAGGTGGCGCGCGCATGTAATCCCAGCTCTTGGCAGGCTGTAAACAGGAGGATCACTATGAGTCCGATCTAGTAGTGAGACCCTGAACACCCTGTAGTCCTTTCCCTAAAATACAATAAATAAATAAAAATATTGTTATTAACTGTAATTCCTAACTCTGGAGTAAGTCCTGAGGGGAAAAATATGCCATCGAGAATATTAATGTGTCAACTAACAAAACTGGATGTCACACTGAAGAATAAAATATTGTACAATTTACTGAAACTGAAAGCCACACCCTACCCTTAGGAAACACTAAAGTATAGGAATACCATGTATCGGGCTTACTGTCAAAAAATTATGTATTTTACATAAACATGCATGCATAGCGGGAAGCAAGTAAATTGTTAATAAAAATTCACCCAATTTTTATATTCCGACTGCCAGTGAAATGTCCAGATCATTTTCTTTTGTAGATCTTAAAAACATGTAACATACTAAAGGAGGCTGAGAAAGAAGCTCACAAGTGGGCTGCTGTTCACAGCTGCAGACAAATAGAGGTGGACGCTCTATGCTTACACCATTGTCTCGAAAGCCCAAGGCCTCGAGAGGCATCAAAATAAGTTCTCGTGTACATTGCTGAAGTCTGGGGGGTTCACAAGCCCCCCAGTTCACAGAAGCCCAAGTTTCTCACAAGTCTGGGAAAAACACCAGTGGAAGCAGGCACTACACCACCACGAAGGCTTCCTTGTGGAGAAATGAGTGACATCCGACACTCTTTTCTTTGAGATCTGATACTTCAATTGCAAAGGATAATTTAGCTCTGAACGGTATACTACCAATCTGCTGCAGTCAATATAAACACAAATACATGCCTCGAAAACACACACTGAAGGGAAAAACGAGTGGCCAGATAATACAAAAGGATGTAAGCAGATGACATGTTAATGTGTTTGTTTAGAAACAAAACGTTTGTGTCTGTTACTCTTCGCTCAGTGCTGGGACAAATACCCAACACTCAAACTGAAGGAAGGAAAGGTTGATTCAGCTCACAGTTACCGGAGGGCTCAGGCCGTGCTCAGCTGGCTCCAAGGCAGAGTGCCACAGAGAAGACAGCAACCTTTCATGGCGGCAGCAAAGAGCAAACGGGAGGAGTAGCAGCAGCAGTGGCAACAGAGAGCGAGTCTGTCCCTCTCTCTGTCTCCTTAGGTTCCATCCAGGCTATCTGCCCCAGGCTGGGCTTAGCGCTCATGCCCATAATCCCAGCAGTACTCACACCATAATCCTAGCCTTGGATTATGACTTAATCACAAACTGTAGAACTGCACCTCAATGACTGCATGACACTTTGGGGGGACAAATACACACAAACCAGGACAGTTTGACTCGAATTAGTAACCTAAAGTCATGACTTCCTTCTCACTACATGAAGGAACTGAGTGCAGGGAGGAACACGCGTGCAGGCTGGCGTTTTGCGGGTACAGAGTCATTTAGTCCCAGACTTTAAATGTAAAGGGTTTTAGGAGACTAGTCTCAACCAAATGTTTCTAAAAAATGAATAAATAAACTTACGATCAGTGATGATGACATCAAAATACATGCCCTTCCTCCAGGAAGGTCTGGAGGCGTCCGAAACCAGGATATCGAGGTAATACTTTTCTAAGCCGTACTGACGAAGGTTTGCCCTGATATTTTCATCTGGTCCTCTCCACTTCTGGTTCTTCCTCGTAGCCTTTCCTGAAGGAAAAGAAAAAGGAAGGAAGTATTAGATCAAATGGAGCTCTGTTTCCTACTGTTTAGCTAACAGCATCATCTCTGTTCATCTGAACCCACATTTATTCATGTAAATTTTTCACTTAATATATAATGAAACCATATAACTTTTTCATTTCAAAAAATCTTTTTTAAAGAGAATAAAAAGTAAAAACATTAGAAACAATACAGAATTCGTAAAAACAAGATGACAGGAATCCAACAGCTACTGTTATATTCCTATTGTTGTCTTCAAAGTAGTTGTTCAGATTACCAGATATAAGCATGAAAATTGGTCGCCCAAAAATTAAGCACTAAAAATCTTAATGTATATAGTGTTATTTTATTTCAATTCATATAAGGAATTATTTTATTTCAAAATATAAAGTATGTCTTAAACCGTTAAATGCACTGATAGTTACCCAGGGTTAGCCTGTCCCCTCTCAAGTATAACAGCCCTAAAACATTCACTCAGCACCTTGTGAGCATGAAGCTTCCACTGAGACTCAGAGTGGCAGAGCCTGGCTTCTCCTGTCAGGCCACGTGCTGTGTGGACCCAGCGTGGGATCTGAGGAGCAAAGCTCAGCACATGGCGCCTTCTGAACACAAGAGCCACAAGGGGGCAGGGAAGCGCAGAAGGTTCTAGCTCAGAAGATGTAAGTGGACGATAAGGCCTGTAAGCAAGATCAGAGAAACCTGAAGGAGAGACAAGCTGGGGAGAATGTGTGAGACACGCAGTCACCACGTGCCCGGAGGTGGCCACAGAGCATTGGGAAAGAGACACCGGGCTGAGTGTCAGTGGGCAGGGCTGAGGGCCGGAACTCACACCCTTGTGCAGGAGCAGCAGGTCAAGCTGAACCCATACGAACGCTCAACCTTTCTGTTGAGTGAGGTGCTAGCTACTTATGGACTTGCTCGCTAGGAATGACTCATATACTTACACTTTTTTTTTGTATTATGCCCACTTTACAATAAAGCACACACAGAAGTCAAACAAAGGCCATGATTGAAAACACCAAACATGGGCTGGGGAGATAGCTCAGCAGTCTACGCATCTGCCTGGCAAGTGCAAGGACCCAGGTGTCATCCCTGTTACCCCCTGCTCTGCTGGCCCTGCACCATGTTGGCTACTGAAACTGGGAATGGTGGCACACACCTGTAATGCCAGCGCTGGGGAGGCTGAGACAGGAGGATCACTAGGAGTCTGAGCTGCATAGCTAAGACCCTGTATCAGATAGATAGATAGATAGATAGATAGATAGATAGATAGATAGATAGATAGATAGATCGGACAGACAGACAGACAGACAGACAGACAGACAGACAGATAGACCGACCGACTGATCCATCGATCGATCTTTTTAAAAAAGAAAAGAAACCACCACACACAAGATAAGACCCGCTGTCAAAGGTACACAGTGCCTGAGGAAAGGTCCTGTGTGGCACCTCTAGGTCAATAGCAAAGACCCAGCGCCGCACCTCCACTCACCCAGGCCGTGAACTGTGTTGTAGTCGATGTCTGTCCCACACACATATGCGCCAAAGTGTGCCGATGCTATCAGGAGGCCACCTAAAAAATGACACCACCTTGATCTTCCACCACGAAGTCCACGCCACTGTCTCCTTCCCTACTTACGAGCTCGCTCTCTAGCAATTACTCATATATTTACACTTTTTGTATTATGCCCACTTTACAATAAAAGCAGCGTAGAAGTCAAAAGACTAAAAGTTCTGCAGACAAATGTGCAGAAGACATAAAATCTAATTCAAAATAAATGATACAAATAGTACTTAAAATACAGTAAGGTTTAGACGTCACTCATAATAAAAGAAATACAAGTCAACATTACACTGAAATAGCATTTTTACCCAACATTGGCAGACCTTCAAAAGTATGAGAATATACTCCATCGGTAAGATGATGGGAGAGCAGACACACTCTTAAACTGCCGGCAGGAACTGAGGGGCACGCTAGTATTAATCCCCCTTGAAACCCTCCCCTTGTTTCCAGCACATATCCATTGCTCTGCCACCTTCTGACATAGCCCCGGAAGGCCTCTTTCCTGACTTGATCTGTGCTCTGTGCCCTCTTTGCATCTCCAGGCCATTTGAGCTTTGGGGAAGAGCCAACAGCTGCACGGAGGCAGCTCCAGCGTCAGGAGGACGAGAACACACTGCAGTGTCCATGTGGCAGGCACCACCTCGGCCAGCTGACCAATGAGGGGCACTAATAAAATATGGTGAATATTTCTAAATGTTATTACAGTAAAAGGCACATTGCCATTAACACCCCTCAAGACCCTCCCTCTCTCTTTGCTCACACTTATCCTATCACTCCTAGCAGTCTTTTACTGTAATTTTCTTTTACTTACACATTCACCTATAAGTCTGAACTGCATAACTGAGACCCTGTATCAGA